TCTGTTGTGAGGGGAAGAGGTTACCGGGTAGGCTTTGCCGGGATTTGCCGGGCCTGGGAAGGGAGATCTCGATATTCATGCCCTGGGAAGTGCTTTGAGGGCTGATTGGGAGGGGACGGGCAGCTCTGTTAGGACAATTTCGAGCCCACAATCTGAATGATCACTATCCCTGACCATCCCTACATCTTTGAGACGCTTCATGATAAATGTTGTGAGAACACTCGTCTACAGCTCCTTTGGTGGACGGCTTACCGATGGTGGGGCAGAGAGAGAGAGAGAGAGAGAGAGAGAAAAAGCGAGAGAGGGAGGTGCCCTGGCGCCAACTGGCGCACGCTCTCACGAGAGCGCTGGATATCCTTAAGTTGTTTCGGGCGAGGCTAAATGCCGACCTAGGATAGAATCTACAGCGAGTTACTGGGGGAAGCGCCCCTTGCCTCAGGATCAGCTGCTGGCACCTCTTTGGCAGATGAGCCGGGGGCCCGCGACGCCGATCACAGCCCCGCAGGAATGTCGGGGCCGTGTTTTGTTTTTTCCCTCCAACCTTGTTCCTGTTTGGGCGCAACGTGTTTTTCAGTTTGTGGCTGGGATTTCCATTCTGTGGGTTTCCGCCACTGATGTTTTTCGGCGTGTGAGTTGTTTCGGTGGCGGTCAAGTTGATTGGAACATCTAAGAACTCTTTGTGATTGCCAGGCGTCTTCTTGGTTTAGTGAAGGCCATTTGAACTAGTCATGACTAGTTCACACTCGTTTCCTCTTCGGTTTCTTTCCCGGTTCGAGGGAAACCAAAAGCAATGGAACTGGCGTTTGATTCGCCGAGACCGCCTCCCCGAGCCCCAACGGGCCGGCCGCAAAACACTGTCCTGCAGAGGCTGACATGCTGCTAATCATGAAACGTATACAACAGGTTGAGTAGCCCCGCGGGTTGCTGCAGCAGACATTCATTGTTAGCAGCTGTTGGTGGCGTTTTCCTTTTGGGCATCTCGGCCACCAATGGCATGGCGTTTCGTTGGCATGTTTGGCCAGTATCCCTGCGCCGTAGCAAGAAGCTGGCACCCAAGCAAATCATGTCCTGCGACTCGGCTTTGCCAAACCAATATGCCAAAGTTCTAGGGGTACCTTCCCCATTCTTTCCAGGGGTCCTTCTTTTCAGCAAACCATCAAATACCCACAAAAAGACAGCCGGGTTTGAAAAGAACGATGTTTAAAAAAGAATGGGGAACCAACCCATAGAAAAGTTAACTTAATTCGTGGGTGCCTGGGGCCGTGTCACAGTTACCGAGCGCCTATGGTTTGCTTGCTTGGCTTCCGTTCAAAAACAACTACAAAAAACAAGAGGATCACGTTGGGCGTTGCCATCTTGGTCTTATATGCCGTACGTCGTTTCCAAACTCAGCACGGTTACCAGGGCCTCCCGCTCAGCATAAAACAAGGTCCAGGATGTCATACCCTCAGACTTTCAGATTTGAGCGTAGAGAGATTCATGTCATCCCGCTAAAAGTCATTCGTTTAGCAAGGCATCACCGGACCACCAAGTACAGAAAGTAAAAGGCCTCCGTTGTTGTTTCCATGAACCTTCGATTGATGTTTAAGACACGTTGTCCTGTCTCACTGGAGAGCTTTCTGCCGTGCCGTCCTTCGGGTAGCGATTGTTGGTCTTCACAGACTGCAGGGAGTCCTAGGTTTCTGGAACAAACCCATGACACAGCCCAAAGGGGCTTTGTCTGCCTTGGTCCCCAAAGTTTGCAATTCTGCTGAGGTTTGAGGGCATGGGCATGTTGGAGGAGGGGCTCGGCCCTCAAGGGGCAGCCAAGTCACTGGGCACTTCGGTGCACAAAGCGGCGCTGACTAGCACTAGCCAGACTTCAACGACTTTTGTTGGGTGCGCATCAGTCTGGCAGATGCTCTCAAAACATGCTGTGCCGGAAAGCCGGTCGGTTGTGCAGGATTGCGTACGCAAGGGTTGTTGCCCTCAACATCGCCCAACAGAAATGTTGGGCCAGGAACAGTGGGCAATGCAAAACACTGACTGGCCAACCTGCACCATTGCGCGGCTCACGTGTCTTACTTCACGTTGTCCGTCGCCTGAGGAGTGAAGATGGGGATGGAGGCGGTGCGGCAGTGATGTTTGGTCAGATGGTCGTTTTTGCATGCGCTTGGCAACGGAAGAACGGCAATCCAAAAGACCTGCGCAGGCGAAGAAGTCTCTCAAGCGGAGGCGTGGGTTAATTGAGTGCTCTCTCAGAACTCGGGCACTTGGTTTGCCAGCTTCCAGAAGACTCAGACAGACCTATGGCCAATGTCTAGCAATGAGCTCAGGAGTTGTCCAGGGGTCGTCCACAAGTGAACGTCCTTAATGTGTTGCCGTTTCATTTGTTTGAAATTCTGCTCATTCCAGCGACTCAAGTCCATGTCTGTAGAACTACCCTCCTTCCGACTGAACGTTTGCTTAGTGGATGCTTGAATCGCATCGAAGCTGTGAGATCCGAGCCAATGACCGTAGGCTCAGGAGAGTCCGGAGAGTCAGGAGAGTCAGGCGCGGCAAGGGCGCAACCTCCTGGATGTCGATCGGTGATTTGGTTTTAGCTTCCAATGGACGAGCAATCCTATTGGCCTTATGTTTGGACATCGGCATTGGTGGTCAAGGTGGTTATACTGGTGCTTGCGGGCAAGCCGCATAGAGGAGGGCCCAGGATCTTGTTCCCCTTTTGCGCGCCGGAGCTTTCCGAATCCACATGTTTCAGGGCCAGACTCCCTAACAGTGAGCCGGAATGCGCACGAGCACGGCAGCCGATGAAGCGATGAATCGGTGTGCTAAGATCAGGGTTTGGGGCTCAGACCGGATTAGCCTTGCATTTGATATCTTGCTATGGGATTCTGGCGCCACCTCAAGTACACTTGGCTTTACGTCTGACTTAAACTTGAAGCCAGCAATATGAATCTTGAGAAGTTTGCTGTACATGCTGTAGCAAGGCCAGCGTCCAACTGTTGATGTTGGCGTTCGCTAACTCCAAAAGTACCAACATGTGTGCTGTTTGGGTTGGGTGTTTGTAGTAAGTCAAGCATTTTAACAACAAAAGCAATTACATCCGAAATATCCTCCCACCTTTCAACATGGAACCTGACAGGGAAAGGGCCCCCTTCAACAGGAAAATGGTCCGCGCCTCCGGTTCGTCTGCAAATTGGAGGCGGGGTAAAGAACCTGACACACACACACACAGAAACATGTAAGTTCAAGCCGAAAAAGGACCACTGAGGACTGCTCAAGCCGTTCCCCATCAAAACAAATGGAGTGTTTGTGCATGGAGTGATTGTGCCTTCAAAGGTGAGCTTCCATTTGGTTAAGAATAGTTGTTTTAATTTTCCCCGGTTGGTTTTAACGAGAATCTATCACTGAAAATATTTTCACATTTTTTCCCCGGGGAAAATGGAAGTTAAAATACGGGCTTGCACAGAGCTTTGCCTTTTTAAGCCGCCCTAAAACCGGGTGCGTGGGTTTTGCCTACGCAAATGCAGGTGAGGCTCGTTGGTTTTTTTCCGCCGCCCTCCCCGCTTGCTCCAGGCATCGGCACTGCGCCGGGAGCTGGAAGAAGCTCAGGCAGATGGAATCGGTGGCTGTTGCCCCGTGGCTTTTCGTTTTCCTTTTTTGTTTTTTTAAGGGGGGGCTCAGTCAGTCAATTATTCAAACAATCAGTCAGTCAGTCAATCAGTTAGTCAAGCAATCAATCAATCAATCAGTCAGTCAGGCAGGCAGTCAGTCAGGGGCTCTATGACCAGGGAAGGTGGGTATTTGATTTGCACTTGGGAGGTAACGTTCTAGGGGTAACTTCCTCATTCTTTCCAGGGGATCCTTCTTTCTAGAAAACCACCAAAAACCCTGGGGAAATGGCTGGTTTTTGAAAAGAACGATGGCTGAAAAAGGAGGTTGATTTGCACTTGGGAGGTTAGGTTGGGAGGTGGGGAAGGAGGTACGCTTTTGTCAGCTTGGTTGCAAGGAGTAATTATGATAGGACGACTGTGGTTGGGATCGCCCTGTTTTGACGGAACGCGTGGGATTTACATCATGCTTACAATTGGACTATCCTCACGTACCCCAGTTGTAACTCATGGTGGCAGAGGGGCTATGGGCTCATTGCTTGGATGTTCAGCCCGCTTAGTGCAGTTGCGTTGAAGTAAATGGCACACTCCACAGAAAGGTTTTTGGCCATGTACTTTCACCCTGGTGTAACATTCCATTGCTCGGAACATGCTTGATCCTCTACTAAAAGTTGTCGGGTTGCTCTAATGTTCCGCCTTCACTTGTTTGTATCAATTTGGACCATGTTGTATGTTTGTTTGTTTTTACATATTCTGAGAGATGATAGCGACCTCACACAGGGTTTATTTGTGACCGCAGACCCCGCAGTAAGGGTTCCTTTTCTGTTGGGTACCTTATTTCAGGCTGGTTGATTCTTTTAGTTCGTCCAGAAGCATGGGCGGTCAAAACAGGCTGGTGGATTCTTATGTCTTATGGTTCGTCCAGCCCCAAAGACAACTTCGAAGGACAGGGCAAACTGGGCACCTTTTTCGATAGCTCGAACCAGCACAACAACATTTTCAGTCCCAAGGAACGCGCCGTCATCCCCAAGCGTTGGCCTTTGAAAGCGGTGCACCTTCCGAAATGCTCCCAACAGCTGCCCGGTTTGATCAGCTTCTATTTGGGTATGTGCTAAGCAAAGCAATAAAAGAGTACATAAGAGCCAAAACTATCAACACCGTGATCTGCCGAGAAAGAAGTTGATATTGAATTGCTCAGAGCACTTTTGGGGATTTGTCAGTTCAAAACTACAAGGTGGAATTAAACCTTACCATTACAATTTACAGCTTGATTTTACAAGTAAACGAAGGGAGTGCCAGAGTATTTTCCCATGAACTGACTTTTCCCTATATGATTTTCCCCTCTGTGGTGGGGACATGCATGGAGGTCCCCCCCGCCCTTCCGAGCACAGGCGGCGGCTGCGCGGCAGGCCAAGGACCTGGAGGCCGCGGCAGCCGCCGCAGGGCTCCCGGATGCGAGCGACGGACTGGATGCCCCTGGAGGAACCGAGGCGACGAGTGTTTCCCGCTTCGTTTTTGGAGGGGTCCCCCAAAATCGACGGCACAAAGGGTAGCCTCGTTACCTTATTCGATCCTCTCTAGTGGACCTCGAACTGGATTGTACTTGAGCAAGTTTCAACAGGGTGATGTACATGTGATGTTCCATGGCATGCCGTGCATGTGCATATGCTGCATGTATATATATATATATACGTATGTGTATATGCACAACTAAAGGAGGTATGTCATCGAGTGCTTTTCATGTGAGGTGCTTTAGTGCCTTCAGGATGCGCACTGCCCATTTGGAAGAAGCCTGTTGCAGTGGAAGAAACTCGTTGGCTATTTGAAAGCTGCGACTTCACCATCTAAGAAGATGCTGGCCATTCGACGGACGAATGCAGTTGCACCATTGCACCATTTCAGATATCAAGGTTGGCTATGAAAAGAAAAAACAAAGCTGGCCACATATCTTCCTGTTCTTCAGGTGGGCGTGCAGTTTGGGCCTGTAGAACAAACGACTACTCGCTGTGTTGAAGCAATTGTAGAATGATCAATGCGGTTCCGGGGATGCTCCGTTAGCTGATTTGTCTTGATCTACACCTGGTTCATGCAGGCTGTAGGAAATTGGACGGGAAATCCCTTTGTGGGTGGGTACTTGGCAAATGTTCTGTAGCATTTGTGGAGGTTCCTGTAGCTGGCTTCTAAACTTTTGGGGTGGTGCCAAGGGCAAAGAGGCCGCAGGCAGTGGGAATCGCCATGCCCAGGCCGAGGCAAACAAGGAGGTCTCCCAAGCCTTGCAGCTGGAATTGGCCGCAGCCAAGGCCTTGTGGCACATTCTTGTTCGCCCAGTTGCCTCGCTCGTATTCTTGGTGAATTCAATTTCGTTGTGTTCAGCAGTTCCGGAGCAGGCGGAGGCCGCGAAAGAAAGAGAAGCATCGCAGCAAGCGCTCGCGGCTGCCAAGGCGTGTTGAACTAAGTTGGTGGTTCCGGATGCACTTGGTAGAGGGTGGTTGGAGATTGAGCTTGCAAAATAGCGCCGTCGTTGCTGTTTGAGTTGTTGCCCACAGGGGCACCCCCATATTAGCAAACTGGGGTTGATTAATATGGGCTCAGCATTAGCCGTTTGCCACCGGCTAGGCTGCTGATGAAGAAGCTGCCGAGTTGCGGAAGAAGCTTGAGGCTCTCCAGGCGAGGGCCGTTTGTGTCGCATCTACACCTGGCTCATGCAGGCTGCAGGAAAGTGGACGGGAATTCCCTTGTTGGGTGGGTACTTGGCAAAGGTTCCTGTAGCTGGCTTCTATGAACTTTTGGGGTTGGGAGTCCGGACTTTGCTTTGGCTGGTGCCAAGGGCAAAGAGGCCGCAGGCGGTGGGAATCGCCAGGCTGAAGCGAGCAAGGAGGTCTCCCAAGCCTTGCAATTGGAATTGGAGGCGGCTAAGGCGCGATGCAGCGACTGCATGCTGAAATAAATAAATTATAAGGCAGAGTCTGCCGGCAGGTTTTGTTGGCACGTGTTTTGGTAGCACAGCTTTCGGCCAGGTGCGTCGCTCGTGTTGATGTGCGGATGCACGTTCAGCGAATTCCGGGCAGGCGGAGGCCGCGAAAGAAAGAGAAGCATCGCAGCAAGCGCTCGCAGCTGCCAAGGCGCTTTGGAATGAGTTGGTGGCTTTGGATGTACTTGATCGCTGGTCCGGGGAGACTGGTTAGCAACGGGTGATGCTTGCATAATAGCTTCATCGTAGATGTTTGACTGACTGCCTTTCGCCTTTGCCGCCGGCAGGCTGCTGATGCAGAAGCTGCCGAGTTGCGGAAAAAGCTTGAGGTCTCCCAAGCCTTGCAGCTGGAATTGGACGCAGCCAAGGCCTTGTAGCACATTCTTGTTCGGCCAGTTGCCTCGCTGGTTTTATTGATTAATTCTTTTGTTGGACATGAGGATGTGTGGATGTGCAGAAGTGCATTCGGCAGTTCGCCAGGCGGAGGCTGCGAAGGAAAGAGAAGCATCGCAGCAAGCGCTCGCAGCTGGCAAGGCGTATTGAAGTGAGTTGGTGGCTTTGCCCCTTGGTAGGAAAACCTTGGAAATTGTGAATGCTTACATAATTTGTTGCTTCAATGATATTCATAGATATTCATAGCATGTTTGTCTGAGCTTAATGTTGACCCAGGATTAATAAACCCGTCCATTACTAGGGGGTGTTCCCCCCAAAAGTGATGAATCCCCACCAAAAGGGGGACACCCCCCTATTAATCAACCAGGGATTTATTAATCCGGGGTTAACATTAGAGTGGTTTCTTCCAGCCGCTGCCGCCAAGCAGGCTGCTGATGCAGCAGCTGCAGACTTGCGGAAGCAGCTTGAGGCGATCCAGGCGAGGGCCAGCCGTGTCTTGCATTCGGCGAAGGGTTGCCTGGCTTTGCTTCCATTCCTGTGTCTAAATGGTTTGTATGAAGCCAGTCCACCGAAAATTGACCAACCCACCAAAAACCTCCGGATATTTCCTGTAGAATGGATAATTCTTCCATTTGGTCAAGAATATTCTTTATTTCCCCCTGTTGGTTTTGAAGGGAATCTATCACTACTGGAAATATGTTGATTTTTTCCAGGGACTTGAGCAAATGGAGGTTTGCCAAGGCACAACTTTCTGCCATTCAGTGGAGGGGCAGGACCTTCAATTCCGTTCCAGTCGTATTGAAATTTCTTGGGTCAGATGAATTCAATTTCAGATGTCAATTCCATTTCAGTTGTATTGTTGTTTTTAAGTCAGATGAATTCAATGGCACTCTTCTTCAGGGCGTCCCCATGAATCAAGTTCATGCCATTCCGGGCACTTGCAGGCGGACGCTGGCAGCGGTGCTGCTGCGCAGGCGCCGGATGTGCAATCAGCCCATAAGGAATGTCCGCAAGGTGGCCTGATTTGTAAAGGACCGCCCAAAGAACTGAAGAGTTTGGGGACCCCTCAATTGGGCAAAAGGTTAGAAACTGTTTGTGGATCAGCCGGACGCAGGTTTTGTCGTTTGCTCAGACTGCCATTTCGACGATGTTCCTGGTTCACAAGCCTGTCGGGGGGGGGGGGGGAGTACCTACGAAGAGGACTTGTCTGGAGCAAAAGGCAGCTTTCGGTCCGTCCTTCTCATGTTGAGTATTATATGGTTCAACATTGCATATTGAGTCGGGGGACCAGGACAGTGCTTGCTGGTCCTTTTGCTACTGTCAATATGGCAGAGGCCTGTATGCGTTGCCTCACGATGTGGGACCTTTTGGATGCAACGGCAGAGTGAGAGAGAGGGGGCTTTCCAAGCTGTGAGATCCACAGAACGTGGCAAAGGACAAGTCAGGCGGCGGTTCCAGTAAAGAAGTGCAACACTCCCTTGGCCTTGGTCGTCACAGGTTTCAGGTGAGTTTGGTTGAACATGGATGAAGACGAACTGGTTCCAGTTTGGCCCAAAGCCAATGATACCATTTTTATTTTGGGATAGGTGCACCACCCATGTTAGTCAATTTTAATGGGGATTGGGATGTTCACTGGGGGTCCTGGGTTTTGACCCATGGCCATGTCCATTCCCATGGGAACAAAAAGAAAGCTGTCCGGACGAACGCCGCAGGCAGAGGCTCAGAAGGAAGTGCAGGCGCTGCACTCGAAGCTGCAAGCCTCTGAAGCCTCTCAGGCCATGGGCTTGGGCCTTGGGTTTGTGGTGGGGGATGTTCCCGCTCAAGCTGGGCTGGCCATGGCTGTACGGGGACTAACCCGTTTCACTTTCAGTGGCCACTGTGAAAGTGTGAAGATCCGAGTGGGGTGTTGGGTGGTGGTTTGCCGGGGGGGGGGGAATTCAACGGATCAGTGTGAGGTTGCCAAATTGTGTCGAGAAGTTCGGGATGGCAAGCTCCCGTTCCTGAACTTGTGCCTGGCAAGGCAGATGTCCATCCGATGGAAGACAAAGATTGTTTGCAACGCGCTCGTTTTGTTCCCGAACACCTCCCCTCCGCCTGTGCAAAGTCTGTGAACGAAAGTTTAAGTCTGGTTGTTCAGTCGCTTTTCAACTCGCCCTGCCTGCTCACTCAGGGGCAGAAGTTTACAAAAGCTAAAGCTCCTTCATTGCTTTTTGTTGCCATCTGGCTATCCCTAAAATAGTTTGCGTGAGTCTGAACTGGGGAGGGACCTCAGTGTGGCATATGAGTGGCCTCAAACTTCCCGAGTTCGTAGACTTGACTTCACTTGGCGGCTCCCAGCCATCCGGTTCCTTAGCTGTTTAGCCTTTTAGTGTTGAGTGGTAGTTTTCATTTAGCCCACTAAAAGTTAGACTTTCAGCGGGGGATCTGAGGGCCCAGTTCATGTGCGGTCCATGGAGTGAGTGGCTCGCGGATTGCCAGGCCGAGGCGCTGACGAGATTGTCCGAGCTGGGGCAGAAGCTCGAAGCCGCCGCCGAGGCGACACGCCGCGCCATGCGCCTGAATCGCCAGGCTCAGGTCGAAGGCTAAAAGACCAACCAACACAAATGGCTTCCGGCGGAAGACTTTTTCCCCAGTTGGGTTTAAAGGGAATCTACCTCGAATCTACCCCTTTATGTTGTATGTATTTTCCCGGGGTTGAAGCCAATGAAGGATGGGAAAAACACCTCATGGTTTGTTGTTGTTCTCTTCGAACATGGCAAAGGGTGTCTCGAATCAGGGTGTTGGGAAGGGGGTAGTCAATTGATACCAGGACTCCGCCCCCCCACCCCTGCCCAGAATGGTTGCCTTCAAAACCCTAGGGTTATCCAAAATGGAAACACACCTGGCAACCCTGGATTTATGGATTTATGAGGCCCTGGTTGATTTAAAATGGGCAACCCATTTAAGTGGGAAGCACTTCTATTCACTCAGCAGGTTGATATGTGTTTTCTCGGGGCCGATGGACGAATCGGTGGATTGTCATCAGGTTATGGATTTGGATGAT